AATTGAACCAAAAATTTTGCATGTAAACGTAGCCACTGACATGTCGCAGGAGGTTGGGTCTTTGGAGAGAAGACTGACCATTTAAGGGCATAGAGACGTCTTGTAGACTTGGGTTCTAGCCTGTGAAGTAGTATTTAAGAAGCTTTTGCGGAGGTCTGTAGGCTCCCATCAAGAGGCCAAAGGTACAGAGCCCACAGCCGAGGACCATTCCCAGAGCCATGCCCCATTCTAACCACTGAGGGTTCTTCTAAGGGGCCTGGTCCACGCAGGCCTGGTCCACCTTGACACATCTGAAGCATCCTGAGAGGGAGGGAGGCTCCAACTTTGAAGGAGGCCGCGAGCTGCTGTATGGCCAGGGCACGCTCTGGCATGACTATAGCCCTCATTTGGCTGAGTCGAAAACTGCTCCCAGGAACAAAATTCGTTGGCTGGGAGACAGTGAGCTCTTGGCAAAATTGACCCTGATCCCCAGGCACTCCAAGTGGCTAAGGAGAAGGGACCTGTGGGATACTAGCTCGGCCTCTGACTGGGCTAGGATGAGCTAGTCGTCGAGGTAGTTCAGAATGCGAATTCCCATCTGTCTCGGAGGGGAAACAGCTGCATCCAAGCACTTCGTGAACGTACGAGGAGCTAGAGACAGTCCGATGGAAAGGACCATGTATTGATATGCCACTTCCTCGAAGGCATATCTCAAGAATTGCCTGTGATGAGGGGCTATATGGATGTGAAAGTAAGCATATTTCAGGTCCAGAGAGAAGAACCAGTCTCCTGGGCATATTTGCGAGAGGATCTGCTTCAAAGTTGTCATCCTTAATGAGGGAGCGATTCGGGTGCCTGAGGTCGAGGGACTTTGTCCGCATCCTTAATCTCCATGAGGTTTAACCATAAGTGTCGCTCTAGCACCACTAAGCTGGCCATTGACTTGCTGATGGCCTGAGCCGTTGTCCTGAAATGCAGCTGGATCGGGTCCAGACTCGTCAATGCAACAGAGGAGTTTGGCCTGAAAGACCTGGAGGATGGCCATGGAATGCAATGCCAAGGCCGCCTGGCCAGCCGAGGTATAGGTTCGTCCAGCGAGGGTTAGCGTCATCTTACAGGGCTTAGAAGGATTGGCAACTTTCCAGTGGCTAGGCAGAGGTATGCGGCCACTGACTCATCCAGGGAAGGCAGCTTTTTGTAGCCCTTTTCTTCAGCGCCGTCGACTGTGGTGAGGGCAGATGAAGCAGATGTGCATAGGCGGGCCGAATAGGGGGTGCGCCACAACTTAGTGATCTCGGTGTGAACCTCTGGAAAGAACGGAGAAGCTCGTTGCCGAGGGGCCTGGCGGCACCCCAGCAAGAACCATTCATCCAGGTGACTGCGAGTGGGCTCCTCCAGAGTAGACCACTTTAAACCCAGCTCTTCGACCGCTCTAGAGAGGACATGGAAAAGTTTGACGTCCATCCCTGCTTTAGCATCGATGGGTTCCATAGACGGCGAGGGGGCGGGGGCGCTCGTGGAGCCCATCCAATCTTCCGCGTCTGGTGCCGCCAATGACATACTGTCATCTAGGGATTGTACTCAGATCCCTGGAATGAGACCAAGTCACTCATGATAAGGGACATTGGTCTGGGTGGGTGAAACTAACGGGAGAAGCTTGGGCACGCGTGGGCTCACTCGTATCTGAGCTCCTCTGCCCCGCTGTTTTTTCCTCGCAGGCTCCTGGGAGGAAGACAACGGGAGGGTGCTAGGGGTGGAGCCTTCCGCAAGCACAGAGAGGCGAGACTCATGTTCTCAGTGAGAACAATCCGTCTCGGTGAGCGCAGCTTCCGGGTGGGATTTCCCCAAGTGCCCTGCACGAGCCACAACAGCGGCGTGGCATTTTAATCAATTCCATGGAATTTGCTCTTAGAAATTTGCTCTTTTAAACTCACCGGATGTGCTGAAACAGCAGCTTGCAGACGCTGAAAGCGGCTCATGAGCGGCTCACTGAAGAGGCGGAGCAGCGAACAGCTGAGCAGAGCAGGCGCTGAATCAGCTTGATATGCTGCGAGGCGTGTCAATGGCAAGAAGACTTCAAGTCTCATAGTTCAGCGAAGAGAAGATCGTCGTCGCTGAATAAGAATAAATCAGAGGATCCTATGCCAGCATGCCCGCTTATATAGCCAGATGACCCCGGCCATTTCATGGCCATAAGCTTGTGCAGCTCCGCTGCCTCACCATTGGTTTGTTTTTTATTTACTGCACGAACCAATGGCCATGCAGTTACTCTGCGTTATTGAAAAATGCTTCAGTAATGAGATAAAAAGGAGTTTTTCCATCGCGGGAAAGAGCGATGGGAAAGATGGAGGATGCAGTACGAGTTGAGTTCCGATAGGGAAAATTATTGGAGTATGTTTTACAAGAAAATATTGTAACACGTCAGATGAGGCAACCCATTCATATTTTACTCAATAAACTGCTAATTTGTTGCATATTGATAATAATTTAGTTGTTGTAGTAGTTATGTTTATGTATTGGGTAGGGTTAATAGATCTAGAATATGGTCGTGCATTAATATGTGCTATTTAAGCATTAATAAACAGCCAATGTGATAGTAATATGCATGTTAATAAGCATGGTTGATAGTGAATAGTGTTCCCTAATCTAAAGTTTTATCTAAAATACTAAAATTTAACTTCAAAATGGAACGTTTAATTACTTGCTGTTTCATTGTAATTGTTTTTGAAATGTACTAGTAGTATAAATGTACTAGTAATTTCTGAGTGAAAATCAATGTGTATCATTCCTTAACCTTGAAGCTTTTGATAGGTCTATTTTAGAAGGTATTATTGCTAAAAAATGACTACATTTCTCTATGAAGAAAATTAATGTGAATTTTACTCTTTGGTAGCTAAATCTGGCAGACGTTAGTGAAATGGCTTGCAGCACCTTTAAGGGCAGCTCTTAGATCTTTGATTGGAATGGAAGTACACTTGGCAGTTATGTATTAAACGTTTACATGTGCGTTATAAGAATGTCTTTGGCACATATTGAGGTGATTGCAGGGCACTATAGGAGGGAAAGAAATGTCCAAGAAAAAGATCAGAAAAAACAGACACCCGCTTTGATCAGGCAGAATAACTTTAGAAACTGATATCAACAATCAGGGGAGATGACATTTGAAGACCACATCAAAAAGAAGGACATGACAGGTGATCAAAAAGCCTCCCTCCACAAGTGAAAACCTTGGGCTTTTCACACACACCACTTGCAAATGCATTGACCTTGCCTCATGATTCAAGTGTTTTTGTGTCGGTCAGGACCGATGATTTTACATAAAGTGGTTTGTGTGGGTTCTACATGTTAATTAATTTCGTGTCACCTACATCAAGTTAGACTTGTATAGACATACTTTTCACTATAAACACAAAGTCTGGTGCAGCTTTTTCTGGCCAAGAACCACTGACTTAAACACAAAGAGACCCTCTGACTGACATGAATGTGACAAAATTTAGATTTTGTTTTTATGTCCTATTAGGCCACACGCTTACCTAAAAATGATGTAGCACAATGTGCCACTAAATGATAATCAATCAATCAGTCAGTCTGTCAGTCAGTCAGTCTGTCTGTCTATCTATCTGTCTATCAGTTACTGTACATTGATGTTCTACAAACGTGTGTAAAAATAATTCAATTTTCTGTCTGTCCAAAACTAATAAGTACAGACAAAACTCAAAAACAATATACAGTTCTGCCCTAACATATCTAGGCTATTTGTTACTAATTGTCTCAAACAAAGCTAATTTTATCAAAAACTGAGTCTGAGACAAAGATCAACCAGACCTTTTAATTATAACATTATAATTATAAAATGTCTTTACCAACACCATTCCTTTGAGGAAACTACTGAAGCACTTAATATTAAATAACAGTTTAAAGTCTTATTAATGGTATACTTCAGTAGCCAAATAATGCACAGTCATAAAGTGCAATTCAAGGTGTTAACTTTGTTCTTGCATAAAATCATTTTGATTAAAACCATTCTATGCCAATTTATAGCTATTTATAAGATGATGGTTCAGTGTGCCACCCTTTAAAACATCAATAATATTTAATTTATTGATGTTGCATCAGAAATTGAAGGACGTATCTTTATTTAGCACAGTCTGTGCTAGACCAACTGCCATAACCAATTACACCAATATTCCAGTTTAGAAATACAAATAAAACAGCTGGCATATAATAATAAAAAAGGTGTTATGTAATAATAACAAATGTAATATAGTATCATGAAAAATTAATAGTCAAAGATTTACAACATGGAAAATGATGTGCATGTAAAGATGGTCAGTGCTGCACCTGAAATGAAGTCATCCATGAACTCACCTAATGTGATTTTGGCCAGTAATTGAACTCAGAGGGATGTCAGAAAGTGAGGCTGTGTAAACACAAACTTACTGTGGCTTAGGAGGAACAAGAGAGTGGGGAGGGGAGAAACATGGGACATGCTTTGACCTTTCTTTGCTTTTTATGGGAAATAGCCTTGAGCTTACCATCACTAAATCCCCTGTCAGCTCTACAGGAATAGATATTCCACCTGTGAATGCAATCTTTACTGGCATTCTTATGAACACTGTACACTCTGGGCTGTTGAAAGAGAACATTCCATTGCTTTTCTTCTTAATAGCTTCTTTGGCAGGGTTTGTTCTTATAAAGAAACATTCTATATAATATGTATATAATGTATGCACATTGACCCTTTTGTGTCATACAGTGTATAAAAGTTCTATCTATCTATCTATCTATCTATCTATCTTTGATTTTTAGGTGAAATTTGACCAAGACCATTTACATACTTGTATGAGTGTTTTTTTGTATTCATAAGAGTTCAGCAATGAGGCAGTGCATCTGGTGAAATCCTTCTGATACGCTGCCTTGAACACGCACCAGTCGACTATCACACATAATATGTCTCATTTATTTCCTCATGTTTTTTGTGTTTTTGTCTTCTTTCTCTTGCATGCTCTGCTTTCATGCAGTAAGCCAAGGTGGGATGGCTGCAGACATTTGTCCAGATCCGGGGATTCCTGAGAATGGGAAAAGAATTGGCTCCAGCTTCCAGTAGGTCCTCTTTTTGTTCTCTTATCTGCTGCACTTGTCCTTTTTAACTGCATGACACAGCTTTAATCAGGCCTGGGCCTGCTGTTTGACACGTCCATCTGAACTCCCATACCAATAGGCCATTACCACCAGGACCTTTGGTCACTGCTACTAAGTGGGTTTCTAATGCCCCTAGAGAAAGAACCAAGGGCCATTACATGTTCTGCATTTAATGGAATACGAAGTGGGTGATTCTGAAAATAGAAGACACAAGCAGTTTATAGACATTTGACAGAAAGTGCTTCATCTAACAAAAGAAGGATGCGTCAGAGACATAGAGGGTCTGGGGTTGATGGTATGACTCATGTAGCTGGTCGATCGCTGACGGTCATTTCAACTTCGGCAGGGTCGGAGCCAGCATCCAGTTTTCCTGTGACGACAGCTACGTACTGCAGGGATCAAAGAGCATCACTTGCCAGAGAGTGACTGAGACCCTGGCGGCCTGGAGTGACCACAGGCCCATCTGTCGGAGTAAGTGCAAATATGTCTCTCTTTTCCCCTGCTCAGACACTTTCTGTAGGGACGTTGTCAGATCCTGTTAAGTGAGATGTGTACCACATGGCAGTAGGGAGTAAGGCCACATAATTCATAGGAATAGTTGTGCCACACGAATTTAACAAAGACAACGCTAGCACATGTGAATATATAAAAGAACATGTCTGGTTTTGAATTATGCATTTAGGGTTATCTTGATGACTGTAGCTGTGTTCCAAAATCTAGTGTGCTCTCTATTTCTTACATCTCGGTATTTAAATCAAAATGGGCAAAAAGGCAGTTTGAAAGATAATCCCGTAATGCATTGCAAGAGTAACACCTCATTTTGATAGTCTTTAGACATTCTACTAAATGACTTTGCAGTTACATCAACAAACAGACATTACAGTATTAATAGACTAATAGATTTGCCACAGTATTGGTGTGTGTGTTTTGTACTTTTATGCTTATTCAGTTAATACAGTTAGCTTAGCAACATGCTAACATCACACTAGGTTTGTCCCAATTTGCGTATTTATGCATTATTCCATGCCAGTTTTATTCCAAACTTTAAATACCCAGATTATGTGCTTAATTAACCGGAAAAAAAAAAAAACACTCAACTGCCACAGCTTTCCTTCCATAGCAGAAGGGGAGGGGCTATCAGACTGTGATGTTGGAAGACAAACTAACCTAAATACAGATTTTGGGTATAAACTGAAACATTGTGCTAGAGTATGAGCTGTCCAGGCTGGGTTTATTTAGTAAAACTGTGTTTGTTTTGCTCGTGCTTATGACTTCACATTTGTTCTTAGTTTGTTATTTTTATCCACATCTATTAATTTCATCAGGCAGATAAATGAGGAGTGATGTTTACTTTTAATTGGTGCTGTCATTAACTAGAAAAAAAAAAAATCCAGGTTTAATTAAAGTTTTGCTAGCTTTTGCAAACATTACCTCCATAACTCTGATGAAATCAACATGTTCATGTTCATTCTATTCCAAGATCCAGTGTTTGATATTTACTTATGATACTAAATCAAATTCATCTAATATCTTTGTACATAATATTGCACTATAATAATTTACATAAAAATAGTTTATAAACTCTTTATACAAAAATTTGTTCTACTCATGAATAAATCCCCGAGCTCTTCACATCCTCAAACTCTGACATAATTAATTTCTATAGCAACGCTCATAACATTAAAATGGATCCACATGCAGCTATTGTCATGCCCCTGGACATTCTGTGTGTGTTTTTCTCCCCATGTGCTCCCCGTGACCTAGTTTTCCCTCATGGTTGATTGTCATTCCGTTCACCTGTGTTCCCTTAATTATCCTCTTTAGTTCCTTGTTACTTAAGCCCAGTGTTTCCTGTGTCCATTGTTTGGTGTCGTCTATGTATAGTGGTTGTGTTCCTAGTTCTCTGAGTTCTCTGTGTTTGAGTTATAATAAATGTGGTTTCCCGATCCTGCTCCTGCGTCGTGCTCTTCACAGCAGCCACACGTGACAGAACACAGAACCAATCAAAGTATGAACTGGGCTGAGGAGTTAATCTGGAACATCCAGCAGGATGGATGGCCTTTGGAACGATATGTGGAGGAGTTCCTGAGTGTTGTACATCTGTTGAGCTGGAGCTATCACATGGTTAATGCCTGCTTCCGAATGGGACTCGATGATGATAATTTGTTTCGATTCCTGTCTCCTGACGACTGTTAGACTTTATTAATTATGTCCTCGATTTAAATGGCTCTGAGTTCCTTGTTTATGTGGAGGATAGTCGCCCTGTTCCCATTCGGAAGCAAGTGGGCGCTTCAGCTCACGATCTACCAGCACCTTCTACATACCATTCCAAAGAGCCCGCTCCTTCTGTTCCACCCGCGCTTCCCCAAGTTCTCCCGAGTTCGGCTTCAGTCATCATCCCAGATACAGCGGCCGCTCCACTGTCAGGCCCGCCAGCCGCTCCACTCTCAAGCCCGTCGGCCGATTCACTCCCAAGCCCTATGATGACAGCAGCTATCTCTTTCACCTCAGCCAAAAAGTGGAGAACGAGGAGGAAGAGGCAGTTGGTTCCAGCCCCTGACCAGAGTCGAGAAATGGCTCGAGCCCATGATCAGAGTCGAGAGATGGCTCGAGCCCCTGACCAGAGTCAAGAGAGGACTTCTGTTCCTGAGTTCAGCCCAGAGAGGGCTTCTGTTCCTGAGTCCAGTCCAGAGAGGGCTTCTGTTCCCGAGTTCAGCCCAGAGAGGGCTTCTGTTCCCACGTCCAGCCCAGAGAGGGCTTCTGTTCCTGAGTCCAGCCCAGAGAAGGCTGTTGTTCCCCGCGTCTGGCCCAGGGAGGGCCTCAGATCCTGAGTCAAGCCCGGAAAGGGGTGCTGTTCCCACGTCAAGCCCAGAGAGGGCTACTGTTTCCGCGTCTGGCCCAGGGGAGGGCCTCAGATCCCGAGTCTAGCCCAGAGAGGGCTCCTGTCCCCACGTCTAGCCCAGAGAGGGCTCCTGTCCCCACGTCTAGCCCAGAGAGGGCTGTTGTTCCCACGTCTGGCCCAGAGAGGGCTCCTGTTCCTAAGTTTAGCCCAGAAAGGGCTCCTGTTCCTGAGTTTGGCCCAGAGCGGGCTCCTGTTCCTGAGTTTGGCCCAGAGCGGGCTTCTGTTTCCGAGGGCAGCCCAGGCAGGTCTTCTGTTCCTAAATGCAGCCCGGAGTGGACTCCTTAGCCCAGTCCAGTGCCTGTGCCAGCCAGGGGACCCGGAGTCCTCCCCAATACATTTTTTTTTTTGGGGGGGGGGGGGCCCAAAACCAAGCCCTCTGTGGTACCGCCCTGGAAGCTTCCCACCCCGTACTAGCCTGCCCTGAGAGGCCTCCAGGACGCCCACACTCCCACCCCCTTTTGTTGATTGTATGTGGTGCGAGGACGCGCCTTCCGGGAGGGGGGCAAATTGTCACGCCCCTGGATGTTCTGTGTGTGTGTTTTTCTCCCCATGTGCTCCCCATGACCTAGTTTTCCCTCATGGTTGATTGTCATTCCGTTCACCTGTGTTTCCTTAATTATCCTCATGCCTACAGTTCCTTGTTACTTAAGCCCAGTGTTTCCTGTGTCCAGTGTTCGGTGTCGTCTATGTACAGTGGTTGTGTTCCTAGTTCTCTGTGTTTGAGTTATAATAAATGTGGTTTCCCGATCCTGCTCCTGCATCATGCTCTTCACAGTAGCCACACGTGACAGATATGTTGTTGATGCCAAAATAATACATCAGTCGCTTCATTAATTCAAATATATATGCTCCTCTACATCAAGAGCATAGTGCATCAGGTAACAAGCAATGGGTAATATGTGATTTTAATACTTGGGGCCAGATTTACTAAACAGGGCAAATTAGCGTTAGAGTGCAATTCCATAAAAGCTCTGGTGGGAGAGGAAAATTCTGCGGGTGATTTACTGACAATGTGCACATTAAAGAACAGAGACGCAGCCAGATCATTTTCACAATGACCAACGCAATCTACCAAGAGCAGCACAAATTACCGCCTGCTTTAACCCTCTGGGGTCGACTAACGCGGATACGCGTTTTGTGGCATCTTCTCCTGATAACACCAAAAAGAACTTAACTATCGCATATTCCTTTTCTACACGAAATGTGTTTTGAAAATTTCAATCAATATATTGTTTTCTGTGAGTGAGTAAACAAGATGATTTTCACATCATTCTGAAGCAAAAACTCTAGACTTCAAGATCAGTTCTCAATAGTCTTGTGAACAAATGTTCTGTATGTGTTTTATGGCCTTATTTCAGTGACTTTAAAATTTTAGTTTTTCATTAAGCACGCATAAACGTTGTTTTCTCAAAAACACAATCACATACATGCATGCTGCCCACATATTATTGTAGCCCAGTTTGTACTGATTATGGTGCTACTAAACTAAGCCATTAAAATGTTTATTAGCAACTGAAAAAAGCACAAATGTCAGGACATGTCAAAACTTCTCCAGGGCCCAAAACACCCTCGGACCCCAGAGGGTTAAGACATGCTTTTTTTGGGCATTAAATAATGGCATAAATACCAGTAATTTGATAAGAGCAAACGTTAGTAAATCGTGTTGCGTGATTAATTTTAATACTCTCCTATAAATTTCGTGTCTGAACGGGAAACTCCTACAAATGCATATTCAATAAGGTCAGGCACAAAAATAACTGTGTCCACGCCTTTTCAGCGTTAATTCTTCACTGCGTGTCTTTAGAAAATCCTGACAGTACTATTTTAACGCCAAAAGACGTTTTACATTGGCACAAGCTGTTAGTAAGTTTAGCCCTTTGGAATCTTAGCATTATTGTAACTCTGGCTTAACTTGAACACACTGTAAGATCTGAGAAATGCAACAAGGTTGATGCAATTCAGGCATTATAATAAATGCAAATAATGCTGATTTTTAATTTTTTTTTATATTATTATTATTTTTTCTTACCTTATCCCATGCAGATAAATGTACACGGTCTTGCGGCTAGATGTACCCTTAAGATGAGACCTGGAGTGGGGCTGTTTTGAAAGGCATAGAGGACACAGGCCTCCAAATGAAATTAATCAGAATTAAATAAGGCAGTGTGTCACAGTGGCAGACGGAGGAGTAACCATGTTTGACAATTTCTTTGCACAATTCTTGCCGATCACTGATTGATCCAGACACTTTTTGTTTCAGTAGTGCCAAGTAACCTTTTTAAAGACAAGCCTTAAATGCCTTCATTGCCTTCTTCCTGTGATATGTTAGGGGAGTGAGGGTATAAAACAGGAAGTTAAAGACCTTTTAACCTTGTGATTTAGTAATTCCTTGTGTTTAGTGGTTTCTCTCTTTAGTGGTGGTCTTAAAGAGAATCTCAGGAGATGTTTTGAGTTAATTATGGAGTACCTGTGAATAACAGAGAAGCTCAATCTGACTGCTGATTTCAGCATTTACTGCTACTTTGATAATTAAGTTGCACCTTATAACATCAATTTGCAGGTATACAGA